ATCTTGTGGATTTTAGTTGTCTAATGGCATTGAGATCTCCCGAACTTAAATCAACCACATTTATAGATAATCATTTTATATAGGATATATACTCCATGAGAATTTGGGATCCACAGATAGCAAGCCCTTTAATTTCAGCAGTTTCTTGAAAATTTTGTGCTCCCTTGCTACTGAAGTATGAATGCATGATAGCTTCATGATTTATTGTTTAGTCTTCTACCTTAAAGTTTTAAGTTATTGGGTTGTTTTTCTTTCATGATATTAGGATTTAGGACTTGTCTTATATTCGGCTGAACTTTTAGCGTCCCTCTTTGTCGTATTTTTTCTTCTGCTCAGCCTATATGTGAGAAGGCATATTAATACTGGATAATACATGGGAATGTGCTATCGACCAGTTCTTTGAGAACAAGAATCCATTTTAACATTGGGCCTCCCCATCAAATTCCCTTGATAATTACTGATCCTTTGGTCAATCTCTCGATTATTTACAAATCCTGAAACACAAAATAAAATCTGAATACCTATAATTTGTAAGTGAAATTTTCTATGTTAAGAGGTAGCAAAATAAACCATGATAATTTTATTGAACAAAACAAATATCCCTGTGGCTGCAGTAACATTCTTTCTTCATGAAAATAGAAACTGCCTCCACACCCCATCAATTATTATTACATTTCCTCAAACCCATCTAGGGATGAACAATTCCGTCAGGGCCATTTCATTTACGAGGATTCAAAATGGATAAACTTCTGCATTTCATCAAGCATTCTTCAGCCTAGTGCGGCTGATGAACAAAAATTTCCTAAGGGCAATCATAAGAACCCATGTCGTTTTTGTGATCTTCTCCTTTATCATTAAAAGCAATGCTGAGCTTAGCACAGTCTTCAGGATCTGGGCTTGTAATCCTTTGTAAAAACCCAGGGGACCTTCCCTTTTCCAAATGGCATAGATTGCACCTAAGACTGTCTTTTCGTTTTTCAATGGAGCTTGTTCGATCCCATCTTCGTCTTCATCTGCAGCCTGAATCATGACCTTACACCTGGCCAGAATTTATACATTAACTTTGTCAACAGAGCTGTAAAATGACTTCAACATGAACGATTAATGATGCATTTTTCAATTGTTTGACAAAACAACATGGTACATCTTGATTCAAACAACTTTAGATCAGGATAAAAACTATTTGCGAGCAATTATATGTTAAGGAAGACTGGTTAATATGACATCTACCTGATAGCCGGGTACGTCAAGGATGTGGCGATACATTTTGAGACTGCACCAAGCAAGAAAGCAGAAAACGCAGAAAGAGCTTCTGGGGCTGATTCTTTGGAACTTTCTCTCTTCAGCCGCCTATTGAGAAGCCTTTGTTTCAACTGATCAAATGCAGTGTACTGTACAACATGAAACTTCCAGTTTCAGCTTACATCTTCATGTTCATCAAAATTTCTTAAAAGCAAAAAAAATATATATAGTAAACTGAAATAGAAGTTACAAACTTTCAGCAGAACTTTGGGCAGGATGAAAACCTACTGTCTGCTCTTGATGTATCCATCTGTTGCTACTTTTAAAAACTTTTAGAGACTTTGCCTATGAGGAGTTAGCTGCTATCTACTGTTCATATTTGTTCACCTTTCATTTCAATTTCTGCTTTGAGTGAGACTCTCCTTTACTAATACATCTGTTTCAGGGTTACTGGGGTTTTTAATATTTATCACCAGAATTCAAACAAGAAAGAAAAGAAAAAAAATGGTCCATAGCAAACTCACACCATTGCTAATACAACCTCTAAGATTTCATATAAGATAAATGAAGCCAATTTTACTCTGAAAAAGCCATAAATACAAACTATTTTAAATAAAGGTGGATTCAAATGCCTGGATGGATGGGTTTGCTGTCAGGAGAAGAGATATGCCAAGACTGTCAAATGCCTCAGTCCAAGTAGTCTCTGAAAGACTTTTCCAAAGTCCTTTGGATTTCCCAAATTCACTTGTCTGCATCTTTGAGGATGCTGTATCCAAGGGCTGAAAGACAAGTAATGTTAGAGAATGGGAATTCAACATTTGAAATTGGAGAGCTCGTCAATATATAAAAAGCAGAAATAGACAATAAAGTTAAATGTGATCATACAGAGAAACAAATTTTCTGATGTGATGTTTGGATATAGGGATTCAAAACTATGAACTGGAGTTATAGTTCAAAATATTATAACAAAACATTTTTTAATTTCTAAACCAAGACCACATGGTTCAGGACACCCCATAAAATCTAAAGAGAAGAGATGTATACTATCAGTTACAAGCAAAAGAGGACTTCAAAATTTCACTTACCTGTGTTATTATTACAGTACATGCCCCAGCAGCTGCAGCAACAATCAAATTTGCTTTTGTTCCAATGTTTTTGCTACCACTTTTCTTCAAATACAGCCTCTTAAAGAAGCTATAGCCATAGAAGTAAATGAACTGTGAAATGAAAGACTGCAGATTCTTTGTTCCCAGGCCCTGATACAATGAAAGAACCTGTCGAGTAGAAATCGCTTCCCAGAGAACATCTGAAATATTCCTGAACAAGACAGCTGATTTTTAGAGGGAATGTTCTATAACAATCATCATTGCAGTTACTTAATTAACAGTTCAGGCTGAGAATACAGTAATTTATGTTAAAATCATCAAAGGCATTCCATTATGAAAACCGGGAAGATGAGTATCATATCTTCGCTTTGCATTTCTCTTATATTTTCTGCTATAATTAAGAGACAAACTAATTGAATGTGACAGAATCAAGCTTATGCTTTGTAAATATCAGACTATCAGTCATAATTCTTCCATCTTGGTACAAAGGATCACATTTTGTTTGATTAAAAGGACTGATGTAACTTAGATAAATCATCCTATTTAGAGAGGGAGAATTTAATCCCAGCATCCATGATTTTAATTCCATGAAATTAAAAATTAACATGCTTAATATGTTATTCTTAAGTTTGAATCTCTCTTAATTTAAAAATTATAACCAACAACACGCATCTAATAAAATAACAGTTTGATTCATATAGGACAAATGGTACATCTTAAGATAATTAGATAACAAGGACAACAGAAGTTCAAATTTTGATTTGTTCTTGCCTTTCTCTCGGTATAATTTATAACAGTTTGGTCAAAATAATCTTATCAGCTCAATAATTCAAGAATAAATAAGTAAATTAACTGAAAACTAGAAGAAAAGAAAGCATTAGAAACAGAGGCAGTTGAGTCGAGTGGAGCTAGTAAAGTGAAAAATATCTAAAATAATATCTCAAACAAACACCATTAGGAGTAGGACCCAACAAAAAAATCCATAATTTAATGAAGTTAACCTGTACTTCTGCTGATGTTGAGCTCGAACTTCAGCTTGGTACTTGGTCTTGCAAGTATCAAGAGGGTACAAAATGGTGGTGCTAACCAGAGCTCCAATGGCTCCTGAGGTTGCCTCTGACACAGATTCAAGATCAAAGCCCATATTAACAACACAAAATTTACAACTCAAACATGTCGATAATTGAGCCTAAAATATCCATGAATTTTGGAGGAGTTAATGGCATAGCGTTGAGTTATAATAATGAGTTAGGAGGGAGGGAAGAATGAAAGTGACGTAAAGAGAAACCAATGAAATCAGTTAAGTGAAGTGATGGTATCTTTTCGGGAATCGGAAACGTGAACTTCCTTCTTTTCTTTCATTGTCTTAAACGGCCTACACTAACGCCGTTTTGTAAATGGGTAAGGTGGATGGATATCCATATACGAACCGGGTCTTTATTTTAAAAAATATCATAAGATAGATTAACGAACACTTTTTATTAACTTTCTCTCACAAACGTAATATAATAGCTCGTAAATTTGCAATTAATCAACTTGCATTTGGTTAGACGAAACTCATTATGAGTTGACCAATTGTGATCTGACACGTCGCGTTTATAAGAGAAAGTTAGTGAAACAGGTTTATTTGTATAGTTTTACCCGATAGATGTTAATTTTTTATAAGAACATGAAATGATAAAATTCTAGTATTTCCTAGTTGTCATAAGTCATATTGATGAGAACCTATGTTTTATATAATGTTAATTATAACTTTGAATTTTAAGTTGATATAATATCTTCATTTGCATTTCATACATAAATTTAAGCTGAATATATTGATCCACATGATCTTGAAAATAACATATATATATATATTTTTTTTTTTTAGCAAACAACTTTCTCCCACCCAAGGTTTGCCTTAATAACACTTTTCACCTAAAAAGTTTCAAAATACCACTATCCCACCCAAAGCTAATATTTCATTACTACCCAAAGCCGATTCCGACAGAGAAAATTCTCTCTGTTACCACCATTTGAACCTCCAGTCTCCTCTTTACAAAACCTCTCTCACTCTAGCATCTGATTTCTCGTCGATTGCCAACCATCGCAAAGCTAGGATTTCCCATTCTTAGCTAATTTTTGGCTGATTCCGACGGCGAATATTCAATTGGTCACCACTATTCTATCCACCGGCCTTCACTCTAAAAAACTCCTTACCTTGGCTCCTAGTAACTTGTCAACGCCTATTGAGAAAAGTGAAACATATTTTGGGAACTAACAGAATATAAAATTTGGGTGGAAAAGTGGTATTTTGAAACTTTTGGGGTGAAAAAATCATTAAAGCAAACCTTGTGTGGGAAAAAGTCGTTTACTCGGGTTTTTTTTGACATTTTATTAAATCTCAGGGGAGATAATGATAATAAGTATTTTTGTAATGCTAATTTCAAACTCACGTATCATAAGTTAGAAAAGTAAAGGATATTCAAACATTAGGCATAGCCCAAGCCCATAAATAAACAACAAACCAATTTACATAAATACCCCCAAAACCCCAACGGGCAGCACCACCATCATTTTATCCGACATTTCTTTATTTTTCAAAAATAGATCCCTACTCCCTTTCCCTCCTTCAAAATTTTCTCTCTCTCTCTCTCTCTCTCAAAATCTCTCACTCTTCTGTTTTTCACAGTTTCACTTCATCGCAAACTATGCGCCTTACAGAACCTTAACATTGAGGGACTTCAACACAATAACCGAGGAAGAGACTATATAATTGGAGGCCGGAGCACGAACTCTAATATGCAGGACATTTTCGGATCGGTTCGGCGATCCCTGGTGTTTCGGTCGACACCGGGAGACGATGGAGGAGTAGGAATCGGCGGCTTGGTTGAGAAGATCGGCTCGAGCATTCGTAAATCGAGAATCGGTTTGTTTGGTAAACCGCCGGTACCGGCTCTGCCGCCGATTGTGAAAACCGAAGCGCCGCCGATCCGGTGGAGGAAAGGTGAGTTGATAGGGTGTGGCGCGTTTGGTCGGGTCTATATGGGGATGAATCTTGACTCTGGAGAGCTCCTAGCTGTTAAACAGGTAACTATACTGCTCACTGGTTAAGGATTGTAATTGGATTTAGTTTTCAATTTGATTTTTGAATTGTCTTATTTGTTTTGGTTACAGGTTTTAATTGCAGCGAGCAGTGCTTCAAAAGAAACAACACAGGTGAACGTTTTACTTGTATAAATTTAGCTTATTTCTTTAGATTGTACAGGTAGTGAATTTTGTACCATTAAGTTGGGATCAATCGGAGATTAAAAAAAAAAACTACTTACTAAACAAAATTTCTTCTTGCTCAAGTCTACTTGAATCTTTGCTTATTCGTGATTTTTTTTAATTTTAAATCTTTTAGGCACACATAAGGGAACTTGAGGAAGAAGTGAAGCTTTTGAAGAATCTTTCACACCCAAACATCGTTGTAAGTACCAAGTAGGATGTCTTTAGGTTTTGTGAAATTGATATCAATTGCTTATTCTCTGATATTTTTACCCCTTAATGCTATGTTTAGAGATATTTGGGAACTGCCAGAGAGGATGATTCGTTGAATATACTGTTGGAATTTGTACCCGGTGGTTCCATATCATCTCTATTAGGAAAATTCGGATCTTTCCCCGAGTCTGTAAGTATTAATTATTGTTAGTTCTGAAAATTCAAAATATGGGTGTTTCTGAGTGCTGATTTTACTTCGCAAAATGGTTTGCGTTACAGGTTATTAGAATGTATGCGAAACAATTGTTATTAGGACTTGAATATCTTCATAAAAATGGAATTATGCATAGGGACATTAAGGTATTTTTCTTGTTCTTTCATGAGAAGAAATCTCTATAACTCACTCTCTTATTCCTTACTCTAACGATGGACGTGTTTCATCCAGGGGGCAAATATTCTTGTTGATAATAAGGGGTGTATTAAACTTGCGGACTTTGGTGCATCCAAGAAAGTCGTAGAGCTGGTATGAATATATATATATTTCAATTGCAAAAGAAAGTTTTGACGTCCTTATAAATATATTTTATGCATGTATTCATGATGTGGTCTCTATGTTGGTACAGGCCACAATAAATGGTGCCAAGTCAATGAAGGGTACTCCATATTGGATGGCTCCTGAAGTTATTCTACAGACTGGACATAGCTTGTAAGAAAAAAGTCATCTTCATGTTTATAGATGTTCATATTTATTTGTAGTTGTCTTGACACGTATAGATTATAAGGTTTATTTATGTGCAATTATGTCTCTCTTTCTAAGTTCTATTTGGTTTATATTGATCGAACTGTTTTATTTTGTGAGACATGGCACACTAATTCCTATGATGGCCGTCATTTAATGTGTTTTCCAAACATAATGAAAAGTAGAATGTTTCAGAGTGCTGAAATTATCATTTATTGGTTTTCTTTCAGTATCTTTCTCATTTTGGAGGTTATGCAGTGTAATTGCTAGGTTGTATAATTAATTATTAGCTGCAATGACACAAAATTTTTGTTGAAGCTAAAGAGATGATGTTTTTCCTTCTAGGTATCACTATGAGGAAGATACTTTTATTGCTTCCTCCAACATTTTGGAAGCTGTTAAAATTTGTAGTTCTGGTTAGTTTAGTTGATATAGCATTGATTTTCCAGGAAGATAAATTTGAAAATATTATGTGATATTTGGAAGTGAATCATGTTTGAATATTCTAGGTCCTAAGTTCTTGGAAGAGTCTTGTGAGTTGTTTAGCATCTAACTACCGTAAGATTTTGTCAGTTCAACTGAGTTCAACTCAACCAAGCTTAGTCCAAGCTACAGTGAGGTTGACATTTTCTTTTCATTTCAGTTAAGAGTTTTGTTGTTATGGGTTTTCGATGAAAAAAAAAAAAAAAAACTTAGTTTGAGTAGTAAGAGATAAATCTTCCCAAACTTGTTTGTTATAATTTCTTGCATATCATCTGATGTAATGTTTGCTCATTTCACTTTCTCCAGTAACAGTAAGGTAACATAGAATCTTATCCACGCATTCTCTATTCCTCCGGTCTTAGGAGCTCATTATTTTCAAAATTCATTGTCTTAGCTCTGCTGATATATGGAGTGTTGGATGTACTGTGATTGAGATGGCTACAGGACAGCCTCCATGGAGCCAACAGTATCAAGAGGTACAAAAGTTGCACTACTTATTAAACCTTGTTAGTTTGATATATATGCGCTGTCTAGCTAGAATGTATCAAAGTATTTTCATTAATTTGCTGACTAAGATATGATGTTTCTTTCAGGTTGCTGCTCTGTTCCACATTGGAACAACTAAATCCCACCCACCCATTCCTGAACATCTCTCTCTTGAAGCAAAGGATTTTCTGTTAAAATGCTTGCAGAAGTACATTCTTTTCTCATTTCTTCTTGTGCCACCTTTTTCATATTCTTTTTGGCTTTAAATTTTTTTAGGAACTAATATTGAAAGGGCAAACATTAGTTTATCTTTAGTCTAAATTTCACAAATATTATGATCTGGTTTCAATGCTTATGTGTATCAATTTGTGGTGGCAGGGAACCAGACTTCAGACCTACAGCAACAGACTTGCTGCAGGTAGCTGCAAATTGTAAATTCGTTTCCTCTTACAATATGCTGCAACAGAATATATTTAGACATGTAAAATAATGTAACATTTAACTTTTCAGTCGTATAACTATCTGTTCCTAAACATGTGCAGCACCCATTCATCACTGGGAAGTATCAGGAATCTCATCTTGTATTCCGCAATTCAATCATGGTAAATATAATCCAATAAGCTTTATCAATTTGAGTCATCTTATTCTTTTGACCATTTTTGTCAATCTTAGTATTGTTTTCTTTTTTCTATCATCAGGAGTCTGGAAATTTGATGGCAACACCAGGGATGAATCTCAGGAACTCGTAAGTGATCCATTTTCATGGATTTTAAACTTCCATGGGTTGTTGATGCCTGGTTCTTTTGAATCTTGACTCTGGGAACTCTATTGATGTTACAGCATGAACTCTTTGATACGACAGTCAACCTGCTCAGGCTTGAAGGATGTTTGTGAGATGGGTAGCGTGAGATGCTCAACAGTGTATCCAGAGCGTTTATCTGCAGGATCCTACTGGGGGGCAAACAATTGTGACGATGACATGTGTCTAATAGATGACAAAGATGATTTTGGGGTTAGGGCATCTGTAAAATTCAACTCTACCTTTGAATCTGCAGATTTAACTAAGGTGCTAATCCAGTCTGAGTTCTTTCATGTATTTCATGTTTTAATGTGAGGCTTTAATGATGCTAAGTTGATTTGTTTACTTGAATCAGAGTTTTAATCCAATGTGTGAACCTACTGATGATTGGCCAAGCAAGTTTGATGAGAGTCCAAAGGTGGACAGATATGGACTGAATTTATCTTCTGGGGAAGCAATTTGTGGAGCTGTTGGCACTGCTGGAGTATCAGTTAAAGAGGAGAATGACTTCTCCTTTCCCTGTAGTGCATCAGCACCTGAGGATGATGATGAAGTTACAGAGTCAAAAATTAGAGCCTTTCTAGATGAGAAGGTATTTTTTCTGTTTGTGTTGGTCTAGTTTTCTTCTGTAAAAGAATGATGGGGTTATCATGTGATTTTATTTTNAATATTATGATCTGGTTTCAATGCTTATGTGTATCAATTTGTGGTGGCAGGGAACCAGACTTCAGACCTACAGCAACAGACTTGCTGCAGGTAGCTGCAAATTGTAAATTCGTTTCCTCTTACAATATGCTGCAACAGAATATATTTAGACATGTAAAATAATGTAACATTTAACTTTTCAGTCGTATAACTATCTGTTCCTAAACATGTGCAGCACCCATTCATCACTGGGAAGTATCAGGAATCTCATCTTGTATTCCGCAATTCAATCATGGTAAATATAATCCAATAAGCTTTATCAATTTGAGTCATCTTATTCTTTTGACCATTTTTGTCAATCTTAGTATTGTTTTCTTTTTTCTATCATCAGGAGTCTGGAAATTTGATGGCAACACCAGGGATGAATCTCAGGAACTCGTAAGTGATCCATTTTCATGGATTTTAAACTTCCATGGGTTGTTGATGCCTGGTTCTTTTGAATCTTGACTCTGGGAACTCTATTGATGTTACAGCATGAACTCTTTGATACGACAGTCAACCTGCTCAGGCTTGAAGGATGTTTGTGAGATGGGTAGCGTGAGATGCTCAACAGTGTATCCAGAGCGTTTATCTGCAGGATCCTACTGGGGGGCAAACAATTGTGACGATGACATGTGTCTAATAGATGACAAAGATGATTTTGGGGTTAGGGCATCTGTAAAATTCAACTCTACCTTTGAATCTGCAGATTTAACTAAGGTGCTAATCCAGTCTGAGTTCTTTCATGTATTTCATGTTTTAATGTGAGGCTTTAATGATGCTAAGTTGATTTGTTTACTTGAATCAGAGTTTTAATCCAATGTGTGAACCTACTGATGATTGGCCAAGCAAGTTTGATGAGAGTCCAAGGGTGGACAGATATGGACTGAATTTATCTTCTGGGGAAGCAATTTGTGGAGCTGTTGGCACTGCTGGAGTATCAGTTAAAGAGGAGAATGACTTCTCCTTTCCCTGTAGTGCATCAGCACCTGAGGATGATGATGAAGTTACAGAATCAAAAATTAGAGCCTTTCTAGATGAGAAGGTATTTTTTCTGTTTGTGTTGGTCTAGTTTTCTTCTGTAAAAGAATGATGGGGTTATCATGTGATTTTATTTTTCCAAGTAAACTAGTATATCATATTATCCCTAAAAAAAAGAGAGAGAGAGAGAGAGCTGCAAAATAGTATCTTAGAAAAACCAGAAACGGCGAAGACATAGCATATGTGTACAAGTAGCCTTTCCACCCAGCGGCCCAAGAATTATTACAATTGATTGCATATGAAAAAGCAAAAATATAGTAAAGAAAAAAAAGAGCGGCTTCATATTTGCCTTCCTAAAACATTATGATCTATTGAGATATTATATGATCAAAGTTTAACATCTCATGTTCATCTGAAGAGCTCCGGTAGGCTCTAGATTTAAAGTGGCAGTGCACATCCTAAGGGCCTAAGAATGATTACAGTGGAAAGAATTTGAAAAGGCATAAATGTTTCCTTCAAATTTGCTCTCTAAAACATTATGACTAGAAAACTATATCATGGAAGTTTAATGTTTCATGCCTTCCTGTAAAACTTTATTAGGCTCTGGATCTGAAGAAGCTGCAAACACCTCTGTATGAAGAGTTCTATAACACAATGAATGCAACTGGTCACCCAATTGCTGTTGGAATTGCAAATGGAGAAAATTGTTCGAACTTACCTCCTAAAAGTAGATCGCCCAAGCGGCTACCAAGTAGAAGACTCTCAGCAGCTGTTTTTACTGCTAGTCCTGGGAGTAAAATGGATTCTGTGTCAAAGCTGAACAGCATGCATGACCGAGCTCTGCAGGAAATTCCACTGCCTCAGCTTAACGAGTGGAAAGAACTACTCGATCCTCAGAAGGATACAATTAGACCAAGGTTTATTTGTTGGTGCCTGACACTTGTTTTATTTTATTGCTGCTTAATAAATCTGTAGCTTGATAACGACAGTGGTTTCTATTGCAGCATGAGCTTCTCAGAAAGACAAAGAAAATGGAAAGAAGAGCTTGATGAAGAGCTCAAACGACAACGAGGCAAGTTTTAGTTTTCAGCAAATTATCACTAATTTCCAATTTCATCTTTTTTATGTCTTTGTTGGACCTAATAGATGTAGAGACCAATGTCTCAGTAAACCTCAGCTTCTTTTCCTTGGAGTCTAGGTTTAAGAAAGTATTTATAAAAGAGAATATCTTTTCAAAATCAATTCACCTAAAAATGCTGTATTTAAAAGAGGTTGTAATTCTTTCTCAAGTCCTTGAAATGCACTTAGGTACTGTTATAGGGTCTCTTCTTACAGTAGGTCATGTAACAGGGATTTTTTTTTTAGAGCTTGATGAATGAGCTTGTGGAATCATGAAACCTGTCTAGACTACCACAATACAGGGTTGGTTTAGCTTTTAAAGGATTAAGATTCGTAAGTTTGTGCATCTAATAAAAAGATGACTCAAACAGAGATGATGTCTGGCGTTGACATTGTAAGCTACGTTTAGACCTGTAAACTATTCAAGCTGTTCACAAGCAGCTAAGATATTGACTTCTTCAGTGACTTGTTTGGTACACTAGTCCATCCTCAATCAAGTGTAACTCAGCATGTTTAGGCTTGTGAACTGGTTTTGTTTAAACATAGAAACAGATGTTTTAAGTAAAAGTCATGGTAACCATAGTGCCAGCCCACGGGTTCAAGTCTTTTGTGTGGCCATTGAATGCTGAAAAGTTTAATGATGGGAACATATACAAAATACTTTGCCAGCAGCATTATTTCAAGAGGCTATGGTCTCAACACAGTGGATGCATCTGATACCAAATTCAGAGAACTGATTCCCTTCTTTTTAGTTTCCTTCAATTAGTATGTTTTTGCTTCTATTGCTATTGCATGAAAATCAAGAGGTTGAATATCTTCAGCTCTTTGTGAATTATGACATGGAAAATGAATATTGCAGAGATGATGCGACAGGCAGGTGTAGGAGGGAGGACATCGTCTCCAAGGATCAGATTCTGACTCAACCAAGGAGCTGCTACGGTTTGCATTCCATGGCAAGTAAATGCATGTACCTCCAAGGATCAGATTCTAACTCGACCAAGGAGCTGCTATGGTTCGCTTTCCCTGGCAAGTAAATGCATTTACCTCACCTGTATTTGTATAAGTACCTAGTGGAATTAATTATGCTTTTCCCCTAGGAGAGTTGAGTTGATGTATTTAGTTTTGTTTTTTATAAGAAATGGTGTCTAATAATATATAGTGGTTTACAGCTCATCCAAAATTCATATAGGTCGCATATCAGTATGTTTTTCTTTTTCCTTTTTCTCGGAGCTAAGTTGGTGTATGCTATTGAGGATTTTGAAACAAAGAAAGATATTTACTTTCTGAATGTGTTCTGAAAGCCTTAATTACCCGAGTGTGAGTTGGAATGTTGTAGCCTTCTTTGGTTTTAACTTTAACGAATAACCTGAATGTGTAAAACTTTATTGTGGGGAGGAATCTGAAGGTATATTCATCTGAGAAAAAAAACAATGGTTACAGCTATGCTTAACAGAACAAAATGTTGGCGAGATCTGCGGAGGACAATCACTTCTCTTGACTGGTAAAGGACATTCTTGTTTTGAGCTTTTATGGTTTTTTTTTTTGACTTGTACCTTGATTGTCGATGAATAAACCACGATGTTGTTGTCACCACCACATACTTTTCAAAGACTTTGTCCAATTTGCTGGTCCCGTTACCACCCTTTCCTCTCTCAAATTTCATTTTCCTAGTTACCATAATAAGTTATTGGTCTGATATCTGTACAATAACAGTTGCATTGGTTTCCTACTTACTCAACTCGGGACCAGACACTAATAAGTAATAATTCCTAAAGCTGAAGTTGATTGGTTTAGCTAAAAATGTACATATTTTTATCATATACATTGAAAAATCTGTTGTTAATTTGCAGGCCATGCATTTGTCAGGATATTTCAACTTGTGAATTAACCACCCAACATTCTAGCTAAACAGATGTGCATTTCATTTGTATAAATGTAGTTCTTTTTTCAGTTAAGGGGTATGGTCAGATATCCTTTTTTTTTTCTTCTGATGATCGTGAGTGTCCGAGTCAATTTATTCATATTTCAACTAATCTTTTGGATCTTGAAACTATCAGTCGTGTGAAAGCTTCAGTGGCTATCTCTATTAGCAATCGAAGAGAAATTTAAATTCAGAACCTTTTGAATAATACACTAAAGAGTCTCTATTGAATTACTCGGTCACCCAAAGACAGTTATGATCCAATATCTTCTTATGCTTTTTATTAAACTTTATTAGTTAGGATTAGGAGTACTATGACAGGTTAAAAAAAGGTTATATGTATTAATATTATATAGTTTCAACTGGGACGGGCCCTTCATATAATTTCTTCGAAGATGGTTAGTTTGGTCTTGGAAGTGATGAATGATTTGCGTTGGGATCCACTTAGTTAAAATATTTATATAATTTGCATTTGTTTCACGTTTTTATCAGGGTATTTTACTAACAAAACAAGCCCGTATCTCATTCCTTGGGCTAATACTAACAGTGTTAATTTTGAAGTCAAAAAACAAGTTAATTTCAATGTATATATATAAAAAGCATCAATTCGTTGATTGATTAAAAGAAGTCAAAAGAAGCACGTTATTAGACTATAAATTTGAAAGATATTAATAATGATTAGTGCATGTGTTAGGAGGACCAGGAACAGAAAAGCACAAAAAATGTTGCTTAATTTTTTTATAAGTGCCGTTTCCTTGCCGCCCTTAAATTTGTCCTTCATGTTTCCTACTTGTTGTGCAGGATGATGGAATCTGTTTCCCATATTTTCATGTCAAAAAATCCTTTGAAAATTCTGCTTGTTCCCTCGAATTGGTTGGTGAAGTCAAACCTGAAATTGATTAATTTTGTTTGCGACGAGATACATATAAAAAAAGAAAGTAATATTATACTTACAATCAAATTTCACAAACTCTCTTTATAAATTTTAAAATTTATCAGCAAAAAACTTGGAATTATCGCCTAAGGTTGTGAAAGAAAATTATGGAGCTACTATGCTGGAAAAAGCAAAAGTAAAATTGAAATATCGATAAGAAGAGAAGAAGCAAAGGTTAATGAAAAGATGGGAGGGGGGGTGGATTGGACGGGGCCTTTTTATTTTGTTTGTGAAAAGAACCTCATAACGTGAAAGACCAGGATTCTGGGAGATCAATATGATTGATAATATCAGATATAAATCATCACGAAAAAGATGAATAAATCACATATGATTTGACACCAACAGATTAAGATTTTATTCACTTTTCTTTAAGGTCAAGTAATTTTACAAATCAACCTCATTCTAGAATCTAGAATCAACATGTTTTTTTTTTTTTTTAATTTAATTTACTTTATTACTATTACAGTTTAAAAACAGCATTAATCATTCATAAACTTTCATTATTAAACAAAGAATAGATAAATTTTGAAGTATAAAATTTTTCTATTTTATCGATGTCTCTAATGCACATAAATTAGTCTGAACACCTCCGATGATCAAAACAAAAAAATTTCCCATTCATCTCTCTCACACTATATTTATTTAAGTGTCTGCAAAAATTATTCATGGATCAGATTTAGAGGGAATTTCTATATATAATTTTTTTTTAAAAAAAAAAAAAAAGGATATAACCATAGAAAAATCAAGTCGATTGGAATATAACCAAATCAAGTCGAGACATACCCAATTGTGTACAGTCATCATAGATTACATTAAACAAGCCATCCAAAAAACTTTCCTTAGACAATTTAACAGGAGTCCACTAAAAATCTGAGAATCAAAATTCACAAGGATAAGAACAAAGAGACTCAAGTGGTCCTGATTGATAACCAAGTTTCACGCATGGCTCATACTCACTTTTATTCTTTTTTTTTTTTTTTTTTTTTTAATGATCTGAGTTGTTCTAGTCATTTTGTATGTGTCTTAACTAATCTCTTAAGATTCTAGAACTACTTACCAACTAGGAAACTTTAGTGTCCACCCTTATTAACAATCATGAGGACTCGAATTCAATAGATTATGTTAGATCATTCGTTTGCTTTTTCACTATCGTGGGGACTCAAATTTGGGAGTCCATACACTCTTTACTTTTTCACAAGCTTATATTTTCATTCAACTACGTAATATTATTTATACACACACAAATATAGATAAGTATATGAGTAGCTTAGAATGGATCGACAAATTTTTGAAGCTGCAGCTGCATCTGCATGCAAGAGTTTTGAAATACAGTTATTGGATTTGCAATTAACGAAAGAGACAATGAGAGTAGAGTTAACTAGTGGGGTGACATAGATGGCCATTAATAATGAAAGAATGAATGAAGCTGTTGGTTTGAATTCGAAGGCTTTTCAATTTTTAATTCTGTGGATTGTAAATCAACTCCATCACCCACCTCAGCAAACATCGTGACTATCTATACTTAAGATTTTGCAGCCACAAAAAACCTTTTGATTAACTGTCAACACCACCATGAACATGAATGGGAATATTTCTTTCAAAATGCCATTATATACACTACGTTCTTATAATATTAATTTGTTTGTGTATTTGCTCTTTTACGTGTTTTCCTTAACTCAATCCAGGCATATATATTCAACTTTTGTGGACACATTCTTAGATGATCCATCTCTGTGTGGAACACATGACCTTAAATTTATAACAAATCTAAACTGATATAATATTGCTACAGATTATTCATTTATTGGGGTAATATTTTTATATTAGTTTTTATGTTATATATATTTATATATATACGATGTTGGTATTGAGTTTGCTTACGAAGAGGTGAGGGCTACGGTGTATTATCCATATCCATATCCAGAAAGGAGTCACTTTTGCCGTAAATGTCCAACTCATGGAGGTGGTTTGGTGTTAACTTTGAGCGGATATGGTGGTGGTGGGGTCTCATATGAATGATAATGCCTTGCTTTTTACACATTTGGTGGTTCCTTTTATTGGTGACGCCATCCCCCTTTTTAGACCCACATTTCCATTTTCCCTTAATTTGCCTTCCCACACAAACTTCCATATTTTATTATTATTATTATTATTATTATTATTTGGTAGATATTTGAAGTATTCACACCTACATTATAGTCTACCAAATCTTTAGGACCACGAAATACTTTATAATCCTAATAGACCAAGATAATTACACAAATCTGATAGATACTTCTCTTATGACTCGAACACAAAACCCTTTAGTCTCTAAGTATGACTAACCCTAGTGGCTAAAAGGTTTGTCATCCGACTAGAAGAGGAAACGTCATATTTTATTATTTAATTCAAACATGATATTTATAATTGATATTTCAAATTATCTAGTTAATGGAACTCCTGTTAGAACATTCATCAAACCAACCTAATTAAGTAATTAATTAAACAATAATGAAGCGCCAAATCAGAGAGAAAAGTTTGAAAAAGGTTGTCCATGATTAGAACAAGGTGTTGCATTACAATTGGCCTTACCAAACTTGTTCACAACATAATGGAACTCCTGTTTACTACATAAATTTTTATTATAAAAAATCAAAGACCTTCGCTACCAAGAATAGAGAGTTCCTTTTCTTGGTGCTTAAAGAAGCCATAAAGCCAATAACAAAAGAATATACACAACTTTCTGCAAATATCCACGTTATATTAGGCCTCTTTACCTAATCTTTTTTTACACGTGTCATCACATTACTGGTTCCATAAGTCTCTATGGATCAGAACAACTCAAAGTATGTCATCCCCATTTTTTCATGGCTAAATTTAGTTACTTAATGGAGGTGTTAAAGCTCTGTAATGGCCTTTTTATTATTTCTTTCACAAATGCTATCTTTCATCACCTATCTTGACCTCTACTGTACTGTGTCATTCATCTGTAACTTTTTCAAACCAGGGAGGTTTTTATGTAATTATACTTTTTTTTTTTTTTATTAGTTGATTCCCTTTCCTTTATAATTCCACCACGTGCTTCATATTTCATTTATCTCTAAATATATTGTGTCGGCGTAGAAATAACACAAAGATTAAATATTTCTCGGCTTCTCTGTAATTTCTATGTTGAACCCAATGTTTATTTACTTGACAACTAAAGTATTTGAAGGTTATGAGATCTTCAATATAGATTTTCATTGAACTTAGGTGACTGTTATGATGTTTGGCTGGAGAGAAAGTGAAAAAAAGTCTAAAATCTTCAATTAAGTTAACAGTTTACAAGAACCCCTCTGTTGACCTTAGAGAAAAAAACAATTTACAATGTCCTTATTCAAAAACTTGGTGTCTTCTTCCAACTTATAGTCTTATACCACGTTACCTCTCTCTTTTGTGTCTTTAATTCATTCTTGGTTTGAAAATTTTCAAAAAAGTTACACAACTGACTGTTTGCCAAAATCAAGCTTTAGCTAACACCGACAAAAATAATGTCAGGGATCGTATATATCCCCTAATTCCATAACAACTTAAAGAATCAATCAAAGCTTCCATAAATGCAGTCTTAAGAGCCAGATCACTATGAACAAATGCTACACACCCATTGGCACAGCACACGTATTTTCTCCGAAGCACTGAACTTAATTAACCATTAGCCAGCCAAGTTTGGCTGGGCTCGGTGCAGGGTGAAAGTTGAAACTGCATCTCACCCTGACAGTTACCTCACCCACCTCCCACTTGTGGTTTCGCAGTTACAATCGTACATACACACACCAACTTGCTCTTTGAAATTTACACAAACAGCTCTTCTCCACCAATAGCTTTTGTATTTGTTCTGTCATCTGTGTTCTTTTACGCGGTTCCCAAGTTGAAATGTGGGCAAATGGGGGCCGGGGGGGGGGGGGCAGGGGCATGCTACATTCAATGTAGATTATGTCAGACTGTACGGCTGAGATGCGTATCTTTGCTGTAAGATCGTTAATCACCCAAAGCTAAAAGCATAAGGCCCACCAATCCTCCCCCTCCCCCCCTCTTTTGAGAATTATTACATCTTCTAAGGGATTCAATCTATGGGGTTGGTTAATTTGGTGACATGTTATTATTTCATCTTTATCTTTTTACATTTGCTTACATTAATTTTTTTTATTTTTTATTATAGGATAAATAAATACGTTCACGAGAACTATAACTGTTTAAGATATAGATATTTTGTGATGTACATTCATTCAGTTAATTATTGAGAATATATATATTATATGTGTTGATGTTGACGTCTTCGACTGAATGAATAAACGTTGCGGAAATGTATATCTTTTTTCTAAGATGCCATATTGCATATATTTAAAACTTATTATTAGTTTGACGTGTAAACATACATATATTCTTTTGGAAGTCAAATTGATTAATTATATCATCTACATTCTTTTTTTTATTTCAAAATTTCTTTGAAAAACCTTGTTAAGAGCGTTGAGCAAATGTTCTTACATCATTTGAAACCATGAATGTTTTTTGCCTAGACCTAATCCATAGATGAAGGGAAGTGTGCAGAATGTGTGTGAGAGAAAGGCAGAGGATGAGAAAAAGGAAGCATCTTCAAATAACAAATAACGATAATAACTGCCTACCACCACCACAAGCATATTTGTTTTTCGAAACAAGAGATTTATAGAGGAAATAAAGGACAAAAAGGGAAAAGGACAAACTATTTTTATTATAGAGAGAGAGAGATCCAAATTAAAGCTTTAGGATGTAGCCACCCAAAAAGACTCCCAATTTTCCCAATTTAACAATCCTTTGTTGTTCTCAGATTCGCCTTCTTTGCACCTACCAGCCCTTTGAAACTTTTCCATTCCTATTTTAACCCCAACATCTAAACTACTCCCATTCATATCCTCTTCCAAGTAGGCATCGTTTTCTTCTTCATCTTCGTGTTTTTCAAGATCTAATTCCCTTTCTTCTACCTCTTCATGATCTTCCACTTCATCCAAGTACTCATTTCCGATCTCTTCTTCTTGGTAGCACTCTTCAGAGTCATGATAAAATGGTGTACATAATGATAGTCGAAGGCGGCCATGGCTTCTTTCAGCTTGAAACAGAGAGCGTGTAGGGGGTGCCTTCGTAGCTTTGATAATTAGCCGTCCGTCTTCGCGGTGGGGTCTGACTTGAAGAGATTCTAGTCCGCTTATTGTTGTCAAGGGAGGTGGAAAACTACGAGAACTTGCTTTCTTAGCAACCGAAAGTTGAAGCGGTTCTTGCTGCTCCCTTGTGGAAGAATTAGGATAATTCTCACCTGATGATGAAGAAGAAGATGACAATGAGAAAATGTTGTCTTCAATTATTTCAGTGCCAGTTTCACTACCTAAACTTTCCGTGCATAGTTTCAAGCTCTTCTCACTAAGTGCAGACATAGAACGCTTAACTTGAGGATGGACATATGTTGTGTTTTCTTTGGAGCTGCCTAATTGGGAGCCATTGGAGATAGTTTGGATGGAGCTCCAGCATCCCGAATCAGCAGTAGAAGAGATAGTGTGGCCATTTTCTTGAGAATGGTATTTCTCTTCAAGTTGTTTGGTGTTGGAATCTATGAAACAGGATTTAAAGGTTAATTCATGGAGTTGAGAGAGGTGGGGTTTTGGTGAACATAATCTGAGCCTTAGCGTTCTTGGCTCAAGTACTGGAGACTCTAGACATGACTGCAAACCTTGGCACACAATTGTTGCCATAAGGGTAAGGTTTATGGTAACAAAAAGACACAAAAGATCACTAAAATTCCGAGATAAAGGATGTATGGAGGCAGGGGAAAAACAGAGGATTTAGGCTTTTGAATAGTGATAAAAAGAGAGTTGAGAGAAAATAGAGAGGAGGGGAGGAGGATGGAGGGAAGAGGAGATTGAAACATGAGGGACAAGTGAAGGGTGGGGTGTGAATTTGTAGTGCCCAAAAGTGCCAGGAGGTGTAGGATAGTGTAGCATTTTTACACCAACTTTAAAAAATTATACAATTCTTAACTCTGCCACCCCACACACTGCAAAAGAGAATAAAGAAACAAAAAAGTGGGGAAGAGAAAAATACCCTCTTTCTATTTTAATTTTTATGATATTGACTTTAATGGATAGAATTTAAATTTATAACACAAATTTCCTACAGAAATCTCATGTGGGCAGAAGAAATTGGGTCAGTTGAGAATGTCTTTACACGGCGATGAAAATGAATGTAGTTCAAGAGATGGTAACATTCCTCCAAAAATTACCAGCTTTCCTATTCCCTCTCCTTTTCCTTCCAAAAGAAAGCCAACAAAAGGCCAGGGGAAGAAAGGATTCTCCCATATTTTTTCTTGATACTCTGATAGTGATTGCCTCTTTTTCTTCATTCATCCCTACTTCCTTAAAAGAAAGAAAGAAAAAAAAAAACATACAAGACCCATTTCAATTTATTTATGATTCATGTGTTTTTCAGTCAAAACTTAATACCAATTGAATTCAAAAGGAATAACTCGATTATAACATCTACCCACAACTTTGAAAAATCTCTAGCTGGTGAAGTTACATTTGTGGACACCATCATGCCGACCAGACTTTTCAAAATCCACCAACATGTTTACTCACAATTTCAAAGAGAATTTCAAGCTATTTTCATTTCATCAAAACATAATACCTGATTATAAAGCAAAGGATAATTGTTTTGCGAGATTTTCTATGGGTGGGGGATTGGGGAAGACTGCTTGCTTCCCGGATGTATAATTATGTCTGGGGAAAAATTTAACCATAGACTGAATGGGTAGATCGACCAAATCGACAGCTCCATGACCCACCTTGATTTAGAGAAATGGTGAGTCCCACCTGATAATCAGAACTAAATTGACTCTGTCTAAGTTTTTAACTCGGTGGAGAACAAGCAGCAGCACCGGCCATTTAGTAAAAAAAAAATTGACTGTAAAACCACCGAAATTTACCTGACAAATGGGATTCGGTTAGTGTTAAGTATGATTATGTCTGCGGGTTTAATGTACGAATGTTATAAGATTTATATATTCAGGGAGTGCTGCAGAGACGTTAAAACAGAAAGTGAGGTCAAGAAAGAAGTGATCCTCCACTAAGGCCATTCTTTCTTTTGTCGGCTGGGTGCTGTCCTACGAACCCTAATTAAACTTTCTCTTTCTCTATCACTAGTCCATGTGGGGTTGACACTTGACACAACAAATGACCTACCCTAAAATAGTTTTTAAAGTTATGCCAATCTTTCACCTTCATTACTCTAAAAAGCTGTACTGTTTCGACTCATTTTTTGTTTGCTGCTTGGAGCTTTCGAAGCTATGGGTTTCCTTCTATAGAAAAGATGGGTTCTTTTCTTTGCACCGTTTTCAAGTTTAAAAAAAAAAAAAAAAAAAAAAAAAAAAAAAAATCGCAGATAGTGGCGTCATCACCATTAAAGTGTACCTCCACTGTACAATAGCTTTCGCACATACCTTTTTTGTGATTACACATACATGAACGAGTCCATACGATTTCGATTTTTAAAGTAGAATTTGGGATAAACAGTAAAGATTTGAAAGAGATCATATGATCCTCTCTTGATCTTTAACTCAATTCTAAGCTTTTTAAGGATTATGAATGATGAGATCAGGCAAACTTTAGGAATTATTCTTTGTTTTTTATATTTTGTTGCAAAGCTAAGGTGGGGGCAGCTGGCTGAGGAATGGGAGAACGCCAAGCTGAAAGTAGTTAAGATATTTAAACAATACTGACCAATAATCTTATGGAATCCATTTAAATGAGAAAATTGTGAATATAATTGTACCATATTCTAATCTTTTGAACTCTTTTTTCCAGATAAGATTATAATTGATGACTTCTTTTCTCTACTTCTTGATTTTGCTCTGTGTTTTTTTTCTTAGACAGCAAGCTGCAAGATGCTGAATTCCTAATCAAACCCATCAAATTGAATGGACTAGTTGTCTTCTGTCCATTTTTGCTGATTTCCATTATATTTTCTATTTAAACAATTATTTATTGTTATTGTCAAGCAGGCCTTTATCAAGTAAGCTGTATTGACCTTCTTATTTAATAATTTATTTTTTAATCATGTATTCCCACTCTTCCAAGATGCGATGAAAATATCATTTTAATTAGTGGCAACCAAACTGTTTATTTATTGGATAAGTTTGGAATTTAGCCACCATTTAAGAAATCTTCTAGGTCAAAAACTGCCAATTTAAAAAAAAAAAAACAAAGAAAGAAAGAAAGAAATCAGCAGGCCATATTCCATATATCATAAACCTCCAACAGCTACCAAAAAAAAAAAAAAAAAAAAAAATTTTAATGCACACCGTGTTTTAAAAATATTATAAAATTCAATCAACTGCGAAGCCTAGTTAAGAGGTTTCTTTCTTTCTTCCTCTTTTTTTGTTACCAATGGAATTAGGAGATGATATTACCTTAATCTGATTTAGTTTAGTTATTAATCAAAGCCACAAAAAAGAAATTAAGTGGTCCTAATTATAAAGTAAGTACCAGCTGGTTACAAAATTAAAAAGAGATTAAACTGAATAATACCCTTTGGTAGCTCTAAACGTTGATGGTCTTTCAGTTCTCTCCGAGTACAAAGAGCTTTCTCCATCATTGGTATGCTAATAATCAAAATATATATTTTCCCTACTGAGGAATGAAGAAAGACGTCTAGAGCATCAAATTTTGCAGCATCAGTGCAGAAGCTATGAGATTTCTTTGACTTTGTTTAAGTTTATGCCCATGGTACTGTAACACAGAGAGAGAGAGAGGGAGAGAATTTTACATCAGAATCCATCAACGTTTTGTTTGAAAGTGTGTGTTTTTTATTTTATTTTTTGATGTAATGGAGAATCTTTAACTGAGAAAACGTCATGTCCCTTTGGCCTTCAGTGAAGCCTAAAGGTAAGGGTTTGATTTTTCATCAAAAATTCATATTTTAAGTCAAGAAAGACAACAGAATCCAGTTCATGGCTTCCATCAGCGTGTAAAACACAAAGCACTCTCCCCCACCTTTTTGACCATGTTAGTGCCCACTCTTCATTCCATTCTTTAGTTTCTTTAACATTGTTTATTAATTAACTTAATAAAGGAACAATTATAAAAAAAAAATAACCTTAAATTAAGAGGAGCCCAAGCTACGTAAGACATGCAAAGATGTAATGCAACTACTGGTCGTACGTTTAATTTATCACTAATTACAAGGTGAATAAAGATGGATGTTTTAATTATGCATTGAGCCAAGAAAAAGATCGAGAGGCGCCAAACACAGCTTGTGTACATCACGGTCGAAGGTTAGCTTTACAGACAGTGACTCGCAATTTGGCCATTTGGGTTTAAACCTCATCAGCTGGCATGCATCATTAGTACTATGATTCATGTTGTTTAATGTATTATTTATCATTAATTGTTACTACTGATGTTGAGAGTTTCTGTATTTAGATTTGCATTTTATTTTTCCTGCCATTTATGGCATTATTGAGGAATAACTGTACTATGTTATGACTAAAGTTAACAGACATAACGAATAATCTTTCATATATTCCTTTCAAAGCTTACACAGAGCTGCAGCTATGGCTTCACTGTTTAAGTAGACCTGTTTTATTAAGTTTCAACTAATGATTAAGCGGCCTGTATATTGCTTGGCTGGCAGAATCTCTATTGAAACTTGAAGTTGTACCAGATGGCCCTAGTTTAATTCGATCCCCTCAGCTTTAACATATAATCACTTTCTTCTCTGTCAAAATATATTTGTCCAATCAACAGTGGAGTTCTATTTTCAGCTCTCTTCTATCTTCCTTTTATTTTTTTACTGCTAACAACAGACCTTTCAAAAATATGACGAAACCAAGCAGTCAAATATAAGCAGAATAAAATCCCAGCAATGATATTTTTTTTCAGGAAAAATGTGAATACACTGATATTCACTCTGTTTTTTTCTCCCTAAAATGTCTCTAATTCCAGACAATACCAATCACGTCTAGACTGAAGATGTTGCATAATATCTACCTATACAGAAAGTCAATAATTGAAATGAGAAAAGACTAAACTCTAGCTGATTATATGACCTTGGTCTTGTCTGTGCCTGCAACAACAGGTTCAAAGCAAAATATAGGCTAATTTTTTTTTTTTTTTTTATAACAGCAAGTGTCAGGCCGTTTATACACGCCTTAACTAATCATTCGAGATCTTAAAACTATTGAACGGATAAGAATTCTAGTGATTACTTATATTAGCAATTGAAGAGAGACTCAAACTCAAAATCTAGTAATACATCCAAGAGTCTCTATCGAACCACTTGATCACCCAGAAATAGTTATATAGGTAAAACAGCTTACATATTTGTAAAACTATTAATTATTTGTATTGTATGTGTAGGTTTCTTGCAGATTAATTTCTGCCTCGCTGCATCAAAATTCATTTATGAATACTTCCTCCGGAATTCGGCAGAAAACTGTTTCTTATTCTACTTGTCGATATCGACCATTAAATTAAAGAGTCGTCCACAGCTCAAAACAGACTAAAAAGCTGAAGAAAAGAAGTTTTGTGCTGCGTCATTAACTCTATTTATTAATCAATTAATTAGTTCCTAGTTGTACAGAATAATTTTTACTTATTCTTTGTATATATGCTTCTCATTTTGAAAATGAAATTTTGTTGACTGCCCAGTTAATAAATATAATATGCAAGGAATATATATATATATATAATTAAGTATCGAGTAACGCTACACATAC